GCTTTGCGCGAAATTCCAAAACAAACAAACAAACTTATAAACAATATTATAATTCTATATATATGTTTGAAACGTTGAAAAATGTATTTGTGCTATAACGTATTAAATAATATATATATACATATAAGTTTTATATAAATGGGGCGGTATGTCTGCGGACTTACAACGCTAGAAACCAGATTTCGATACCCGTGGTGTGCAGAGCACAGATAGCTCATTGTGTAGCTTTGTGCATAAATTCAAACAAACAAACTATTTTTTTTTAATTTGACTCAAGAAGGAGTTATAGATCTCTTCACTGTAATATATTCAAATACATAATAGTAAGAATTTTAAAAGAATTCCAACAACAAAGCCTACGACAAGATATTAAACATTTATCATTCGTTAAACTGATTTTCATCACACACACACTGACATGTTTGAAAATTACTTTTTCAAACAAAAATTATGAAATATCGTAACGACATCTGGTGTATCACGAGCCCGTCCGTGTTCCTTGTCTCAGTCGTTCGACTTGTAAAAAAAATGTTTATTTTATTCCAGTATATGATCTACATTAAAAAAATGTTACCTCATAAAAATTGGTCACATTTAGAATCGTATTAACCTATTAAAAATCTTCTTTACTCTGAAAATGTCGTGTAAATTGCCAGATCAATTTTTAGCTTAATGATGAAGCCAACGAACAAAGTTTACCATCAGAGGCTAAAAAGGATTTTATGAATTGACTTTTTTTTGCTGAATATCGCCGTAAATAAGTTGTAAACATACTTCTACAAACCACAGAATATAATCTATAGATTAAATATGTCTATGATGTATAAACGTGAGACATTTTCGTCCAGGCTCTTTTTTTCTCGCTGATCTCTGGTGAGTCTAAAAACCGTTGGATTTGTATCATCACTTTATCCGATATTCACAATTATAATAAACCATTGAAAAGTCTTCCTTACCCTTACGTATTCATGTAATTTCCTACTTCCGGTTCTTACCTTTATGAGAGAAACAAGAAACCCACCATCAGAGTCTAATACTCAACTATTATTTTGTTATATTTTAGTATCATTAAGAAAGACAACAGCCTGTAAACGTATTATAATAAAATTCCTATAAGAAATTCTGTACAAATTATCGAAACAATATCTAATATAAATGTTCGCATTCGGATTTTATTTCTCGCTAATTAAAGGTACAAACAAAGTTTCTGTAAGTATAAGAGGAATATTGAAATAATACTTGATGTGTGAGGTTTCTGTCCGTGCCATCTGTTGGTGAATAAAAACACTATTACTTTAAATAAGAAATAAGTAGATGTATTTCAAAGTTCTACATGCATATCTAATTTTATATAAGATTATAAACCTCTATGTATTACTACATATTGTTATATTTTGAATTAGTTAGAATTTATAATTAAGGATGTAACTGTATAAATAGTGTTTCTGACAACAGAGCCTTTCAAAAATATCTAAAAGAAATATTCTGATACGTTTTTTTCTTTAAATAAGAAATTTGAAGCTAGATGATTACATCTCACACACTGTACGGTGTGCTTTGCTGTATGTTCATATCCCATACCAAGTGGACCATTTTGGATACTTTGTTTTTCTTTACTTTTAAATGTTTCAAACGCCGTCTCTATTTCCTTCACACTGATTTGTTTTTACTTTTGATCTCATTTTACACATCATTACTTTAACACAGTCATTATAGCTTATATTCCTCAGTAGCACAGCGATAAGTCTACGGACTTATAATGCTACAAACCTGGTCTATGGTCCTTTCACACTGATCTGATTTTACTTTGGGTCTCATCTTACACATCATTATAGCTTATACTCCCCTGTGGCACAGCGGTAAATCTGCGGACTTCTAATGCTACAAACCGGGTTTTGATACCTGTGATGGGCACAGAATACATAGCCTATTGCATAGCTTTGCGCTTAACTCCAATCAAACAAAAACTATAATTTATTGTCATGCTACTCTATCATATCCGTATAAAAACACTTAAGCGTGAAAACAACAAAATTCTGGTTCAGCTCAAATAGTACGTGATATCTCATAAACACAGCAAATAAATAACTTGGCATTACTCACATTACATCATTTTATTCATCTGTTATAAACAAAACGATCCTAGTTCACCACTCAAAGTTTGTTTAGTGTAACTTTGTGATGATTCTTAACTGTTTCTTTGTTTGTTTGAAGTTAAGCACAAAGCTACACACAGGGCTATCTGTGCTCTACCCACCACGAGTATCGAAACCCGGTTTCTAGCGTTGTAAGTCCGAAAAACATGCCGCTGTGCCACAGGAGGGAAATTCCTAAGTGAATTTGAAGTGAGTAACTTGAGGGTTAAGACGGTTGAATCGGGTTTATATGAACATTTAAGAAGTACTTAAATAATTTTTGGAGAAAGAAGGGGGTAAAAGAAGTTGTGACCAGGAAAGCCAATAAGAAAATACACA